TTGCCAACGAAAAATTATTTCTGTTTTGGTTAGAACATTTATCGAAGAAGGTTATAGGCTAAAAAACATCGCGCTGTGACTATTAGAAGTGAAGAGACAGCGAGAAATGTAAAAAAAAATGGGAAAAAATATTAATTTTTGTGTTTTTTCCTTACGTACGCTGCGAAAACGGTTTAAGATAATTAAGAATATGTGAAATATTGATTCCTGTTTAAATTATATGTCTATCTTTTAAGATTAATTTGCAAGAGCGATGGAATGGAGATTTGTGAAAACAAATTTGGTGCTGCTAGCACAAGCTAGGCTAGCTAGTAAAGTTTTTTTTTATATATAAATAGACAATATCCCTTTAGCCTATGTCGGGACCTGTTCTTTTAAATTAAAAATCCCAAAAGACACAATTAAAAAGCACTCCGTGCTAATTAGGACTCAGTCAACATTTTTGTAACGAAGCTTCACGAGTTGGCAACGGTAGACATGACACGAGTTTTTATTTATGTTTCCAAGAAACGGGTGTGACGCCTTGACAATGACAGAAGCTGACAAGTTCAGGGTTGTGTGACAGTGGTTTATTTTCATCATTTGATATTTAACTCAACTCAAAGTTAAAGCATTTGTTTCATAAGACATCGTTTTAATATTATAAACGTGAAAGTTTGTATGTGTGGATGGATGTTTGTTACTCGTCACGCAAAAACAACTGAATGAATTCCAATAAAACTTTCCAATAATATAGCTTATACATCATAACACATAGGCTATAATTTATAAAGATACTGTGCGAGCTGTCCAAAATATGACATTAAGTGTCAAGTAATTTGGAAAAAACCTACCTCTCTGCGAGCTATTCTGCCGTGCGCTGCCGTAAACGTTCTTTTCTCCGCCACGATGATATAATCTAACAAAGTCGGGCACCAGCTAGTAAGGAATATTAGAAAATGAACTATTTTTATTATTATTAGCGTATTTACTACATAAAAAAGAGAAAGAAAAAATAAAATTTAGAAGAGGGTAGTGAAATGGGGGACAGCACTCGGCATGTGCTTCACCACCCAAGAGGAGGGAAGAAGCCGGTTTTAGTGAAGGGATAGAGAAGTGACAAGGAACTACAGAACTACAAAATTTTTAGTAAACCAAAACTTTAAAGTCATAGAGTTAACTTCAACCTAATTAAGGAAAATAGAAAAATATTAGACTAACTAGCAACTAACTTATAAATACAACTAATAAAGAACAATGCTAATGAAAAATAAACTAGTTTTATTATCTCATATTTTTACTGTTTCACAATGAGTTGTGAATATAATATATTGAAACATGAAATTTTCAAATAAAACTTTATCATAATTTATCGCACGAAATTTGCGAGCTCCCGCTCTGTTGGTTAGATAAATTCATTTAAAACTTGAATTATGCCTCTGCATAAACATGTTTTATTTTAATTAAATATTGTCTATAGTTTACGCGAGTAGTACACATTTAAATAAAACACTTTAACGGTTTAAAACGCGATATATTAGTTTAACTTATTATGTATAAACTGCAAAGCATCCGAAACGTCGGGCCGAAGTTAAAAATCATTTTCAAATAAGTTTAACTAATATATCGCGTTTTAAACCGTTAAAGTGTTTTATTTTGTACATATATTTCTACCTAGTATATTCTTTGTCTATGCAATAAAGAGTTTTTATTATTATTATTTCGCCGCTTCCATTATATTTATAGCTATAATTTATTTCGTGTACAATGAATGTTAAATATACTCGTTGTACTACTAAAAATTTACAGGTCGTAGATTCGATTCCTACCGGGTCCAACATGTTTGTAATCAAACAATATTTTTTCTGTAATATGTTGAACTTCATCTGGAAATTTAGTAGGTGGTAGGAATACCGACATTCCGTCGAGGTCACGAACCACCGTCCTTAAATAAAAAAGCCGTGTTTTACTTTGGCTTGCAGTCTGTACACCTTTGAATGAATCTAAAATACGTCAACAGTGCATTGAATTTAGGTGTTATACGATTGGGGTGTTACAAACTAAAGTGAGCTTTGACATCTTTGCTCTCTGCCTTTAAAAAGTATTTAGTAATTTTTAATTAACCGTGGAAATTTTTATATAATATTTAAATTTAAACATTTTTATTAATATAACTGGTGTAAATCATCCCACGTCGGATCGTAGGTAGTAAAGTACCCAACTCATATATTTCACGATTTTCACAGTTAAAAATGTTTTATTTCATCTATACTACCTACTCTTCGAAACTACATACAATAATACTTTTTTAATACAATTCGAATAAGGAGACATTTCCAAAAGAATATATACGTACATACATTTTTTTCCCAAGGTCCTATTGCTAATCCAAAAATTGACTTTTATCATTGTTGTTTTTGTATACTGAATTTCTTCTTGTTATCCCATCTATACTAATATATAAAGCTGAAGAGTTTGTTTGTTTGTTTGAACGCGCTAATCCCAAGAACTACTTGTTCGAGGGAAAACATCTAAAAAAAATAAAAAAACAATCTAAAAGCTATAAAACATTGCGCTGTGACTAATAGGAGCGAAGAAATAGCGGAAGTGTGGAAAAACGCTGAAAATCTCTAAATCTCTCTGGGTTTCCGATGCGTACAAAAAAAATGTAGGAAAGAATGACTCCTCTTGAATTGATCTAAAAAAATATTCACGACAATATAGATCTATCTTTTAAGATTAACTTGCAAGAACGACGGGACGCGACCTTTGTCGTGGATAATAGCTTAAATTTGCAAATTTGTATGTCCAAAATTACTATTCTACGCGGACGAAGTCGCTGACGTCTAGTCTGTTAATGGAAGGATGAGGGCGCAACGGCAGACGTGTGTAGATAATATTCGGCTTTGGCTTTTCGCCTAATATATATCCTTAATTAGTAGCTCTAATTATTGATAAAATAAGCACCCCTACTGTGAGGGATTAAGAGATATATTCCCTTGCGTACGAACCAACGATCCAAGTAATCGCTGTCTCCTGATCTATGAGCAATTTTGAATCTTATAGTTACAACATATGGCTTATTATACCGTATATCGCCGTACAGGTCGATAAGGGACATGCGCAAAACAAACTCCACAAGTTGATCGATCGATTGTGCAACTACCTGGTGCCGCTCGAAATTGGCAGACGAGTGTGGCGATCGATCGCCCGATTTCGTCCTAGCAACAGTCAGCTGATCGCGCCCTTTCATTGAGATATTTTTACTTACAATGAATACTTAAGTATACTGCTTAATGTAGCACTGCTTTATTATTCATAGAAAATATTATAAGGAGGCTTGTGCCTCTAGAGGGAAAAGTTTAAAGATTTATTTTGATAGGCGGGGCCGTACTATGTGAAGTCAAAACGTAACATAGTTCATTATATTTATTCTGATTTTAATCTAAGTAAAACGATCTACAAGAAGGTAGAAGGAAAACATATTAAACGGTTTAAAACGCGAAATTTATGTTTTAACTACCGAAGTTTCTTAAGAAAACAGTTTTTATTTTTCATAAAGAGTTTTCCAAACATACCAGTATAATTTAGACTTCTTATGTTAAAATAAGGAAAACTCGTTTTTCCAATTTTTTTTTTCATTATTTATTGCAATTATTTTATTTACTGATTCATTAAAACAAGGGGTTGAGGTTTTTATGTAACTTATTCATAAGTAACATAACCTTTGTAATCACTTTTAAGTACTCATTTTTTTCCAATTTTCGCTTCTTATAATAAAAGCCTTTGTATTTCAGTTTAAGCCTTGACTGAAGGACGAGAAGTCCTAAAAAAATGACAAATTGTTTTGGTCGGACCGGACACAAAACTTTGATAACTACTTGTTTTAAAATAAAATTGCTTAAAACGACACCATCTTTAATCCTCCTCCGTGACCACAGCTGCTGCAAAACGCCTAAAACATCCGACCGTAGCTAAATTAAATTGTAAACAAGTTAAGTAATATATTTCGCGTTTTATACCGATAAAAGTCAATAGTTGCTCGTTTATCGCGTTTTCTATATTTTCTCGTATGTTATATCTATGATGTTTTAATCTAGATATTCCACCACAACCTCGCTTATGTAACCGTCGATTTGAAATTCGATCAGTTTGCCGACTAGTCCTACAACTAGTCGGCTCACGTACCACGCCCCGCAACGGGGCGCTACGGTGCATACGATTATCTATTTTATGCGGCTTTTGACGTAATTAAAACAACAAAGGTTATTAAAAAATCGTTGGAAAGGTGTCTTTCAAGAAAGCGATTTCCGAGAATTTTAGAAGTTGGCTCCTCACCAGGTGATCAACGTCATCAAACGTCAACGCTACAACGCAGGGACAGGAAATATCTACTTTAATATCTAACAGGATTTTAATTATTATTTCTTAATTTTCATAGTATAAGTACTGCAGAATATTACGAAAAATATATTTTTTAAATATCATTGAAAAAACGCTGTGACCCGCTTGATCGTTGGTCCGTTGGCTTGTTCGTCTGTAGCAATGTATTGATAATCAATTGGTCATGGATTCGCTTCCCATCAGGTCCAGCGTTCCTTAAACCATATTAATTATAACATGTTATAATTCGTCTGGAAAACTAGACTTTCGTTATAGTAACCGTAGTCGTACCGACCCACCCACAACAAATATCGTCCAGATCACGAATTACCGTCTATAGATAAAGTCGGGAAGTGTTAATCTGCGGTATCAGTCTGTGGATTTCTTCTTCAAGTCAAAATAAGTCGTCAACGCATTTTGTGTAGATACTTTATGCTATAGGCTGGAGTGTTCCTTCCATCAACCCTAACCTTTGTTCTTGTCTCATCGTTCCTCTCATAGATTCAGTAACATAATTCAGTTTTCCTAATTTCTCGCCTAAGCTCTTCTTCTAGCCCTTTTTAAGGTCTTACAGTATGACCTAGCTCCACGTTAAGTCACAAATAAAGTCACTATTCCCTTACGCAAGAAGGTTCAAGATGGTCACCCCAGTATCGATTATATTTAACCTTGGCAGTGAGCGAGGACGGCTATTTATATCGCGGGGGAGCCAGGGGGGAGTCCGGGTCAGGGTGGCGGAGCCCCCCTCACGCAAAGTGGGGAGGTGCAAGATTTCTGTTGGAATTCAAAAATTTAGTTGGAGCCGGTCGCGAAAATCTCTTTGTTTGATGTATTGCGTTATTCGTTGAGTGATGGATGGCATCGCTCCAAACTTGCATGAGCCAAATTGTCTCGGGGGAATGGGTTATTTCATTTCTCATATTGATTCGTTCATGCGTTTGCGAAGACTCGAGTGTTCCACCACTCCTGCGGTCACAAACCGCGTAACAGTTGTGTAAAACGAAATGTTTTTATAGATTGTTTTATTGTACTAGTCTTTGACTTTGTTTGGGATGTAATGGCACTATATTGTGACAATAAAAACATATTTTAATAAAAACAATTAAATTAAATACGTCCCTCTTTCGCATGCTTTTCAACCGATTCCAAAAAATTCAAGTCTTTTTAGTAAGTATTCTTTGTTACTCAATGCTTTTATCTCACCTAAGTTGGCAAATGTTTTGTTGTTTGCAAGATTAATATTTTATGTTAATACACACAACAAATAATGGGTCAATAATACATAATTTTCGACACAAATTAGATTACGATAAACGGTTTTTGCGAGTTAATCTTTTACATATATAGACATACATTGTCGCATATTTTAGATCTCTAATATTTTTTTTCTTGAACCTCGTTCGCAGCGCATGCAAAGAAAGAGAACAATTGTACGTTTTGTTTATATACTGTCTGTAGTTTAAGCGAGTAGTACACATTTAAATAAAACACTTGAACGGTTTAAAACGCGATATATATTAGGTAAAATTATTGGAAAATTATTTTAACTGCGGCCCGTTTCAGATCCTTGGCAGCAGTGGGACACGACGATATATCGCGTTTTAAACCGTTAAAGTGTTGTATTTATTGTGTTAATATGGAACAAGTATAATAAATATATTAATCGAGTGAACCCCGATCTTGCCTGTTCTCCTCTTTACTATGATAATCCTTCACAGTTTACAAAAAGTAGACTTAAGTTTTCAATACATACATCTATGTATCGATTTGTGTTAAGCTAATATTGAATAGGGTCCCACAATGCCCATTGTATACGTACGTTGTACGATTAGCGCGCTCGTTAACTCTTCCACAATCTATTATGGTTGTACGAATAATGATTCGTGATTATTTCTGCTTCACATGTACCAAACAAGGAGAGGTTTATTCCAGGAATAGATACAATCTCATGCACTGAGTGAGACATTAAATAAAACGTTTTATAGTATCTATAAGGTTTTTAAACATATTAACAGAATTTTGAATCTTAACGTAAAGAGATTACTTGAAAAGTTTTATAGTACCTATAAGGGTAGGCGAGTAGTACACATCTAAATAAAACACTCTTAATAATTTGAAAAGCGAAATTTACATAACTTAATTTTACACGTTAGCCAGTTGTTCAAAATAGTACCTAATTTATTTCGTGTTTAAACCGTTTGATAATGTTTTATTTAAGCTTTAGTGTGTTAAGTATATTTGTACTGGAGATACAAAGAGATTCTACAGCAACGCATCCGAAGCATAGAACCGTATTTAAATAAAACACCCACAGTTTAATACTGACCGGGTCAAATACCACTACGACGGAACAGATGGCGCTAGTGTAGCAATTTTATACTTTGACAATAGAGACACCCATTAGTCGTCCCATGACCGCGACTGCCGCAAAATATCCGAAACTATTTCCAAATAATTTTAACAAATATATATCGCGTTTTAAACCGTTAAAGTGTAACCGTAAAATTTGTACTATTAACTACAGACAGTATTAGTGCGTAGTTAAAATAGATTATAAATAAGTTAACGAATATATTACACGGTTCAAACAGTTGAAAGTGTTTTATTTACGTCACAGTATAATTGTCGTGACTCTCTTTGTTTTTTTTATATCTTTCAAACAACAGATTGACATGTAAACATGAGAAGGTAAATATAATTGTTCAACATCAAAAGATATTAATGGGTAATCCAGTACAAAGAGTATTCGCATCATGCAGAGAAAATTAAAAAAGAATTGCTCCCGGCTCCCCCCCACCCACTCCAGTTGCTCCGGTCCCCCTGCCCCATACCCCAGGTAACATCGATCGCAGTGCGCTTGGCAACTATCATTTTATGGCACAGATGCTATTTGTACAGTGGCGCAAATTATACGAGATAAGATCTACTGTGTTACTAGATTCATATATTATTGGTTTCTTAAAAATAAGTAATACTTCGCGTTTACGTTGACTAGTTCTATTTAAGCTTAACTTCACTTTGTAAATTATATTTGTTTTCTTTAACAGGGATAAACTTAATTAAAAATTATGTCTCTCACACCTAAAAAAGGTCTTTGATAATTTATATTTACAGTTTTTATGTATACTTAACTGTGTTTCTTATATTTGTATTTCGTAATAATAATTTAAAAATACAGTGAAGTAGCATAGTTTGATACATATTTAAAAAAAACTAAGACAAAATTGTAGTTACAGTTATGAACATTCAGTATGACTAAAATATAACACAATGGATGAATTGAACAACTGAATAATGTATATGCTGTGGGTTAGCACCACTGTAGCTGTCTATATACAGGTAGAGGCAATTTTCACGAACGACTGTGCCCCTCATATGTAACAGAGAAGATTTGATACACTTCATATTTTCTTAAATAACATTACTAGATTCAGAAGTGGTATTGGAGTTCGATCCTCGGTGACAAAAGTTTACGGAAATAAAACCGCTTTTGTACCATTGATTAAATACATTTTACGACAGAAGAGAATGTGTTTTTTTACACACTAGTTCACTGTCCACATGAAAAATAATATATTGTTAATTTATTCTATTTCAAATACTTAAATTTCACATAAAATTATTGTTTTTCTAATATGCAATAAACTCTAATGAAAATTAATGAAGTAATTAAAAGGTAATGTACATTTTCGCAAATACAAGAATGCATTTGGCAATAACTACATGTATGTATTAACTACTGTGTAGCAATATTTACTTTTTACTCAAAACAGTTTTTTAAAATTCCATTTGACACATGCGGGAATGGAACCAAAGACGTACTCAGCATAAGTTAGTTCTCTTGTCCAATTAAATTGGAAAAATAATAGAAATTTATAAAAGCTAATGACTAGTTCTGGTGTTTTATATTTCTGTAACAAGATAGTTATAATAGATATTATAAATTTCAACCGTTTAAAACAGGATAGATAGATGTGTTAATTACGACGAATTACGAAATAACGAAACAACAACTCGCGTTTCATTTTCGTAAATGATATTAATTTTTTAACTCACTTAAACGCCAGAAACAATGTAATATGATGCGTTTTAATCCGTTAAATTTGATTCTTTTCCACTTTAACAGGTTTCTTACAATGTAAGATTGTATTAATACGTAAGATTTATTTATAATAATGAATACTAGACGTTACATTGCGCGAGAGGTGCATGTATCAGGTTTAAAAAATTCGACGATTAGAATTCAATGGTTAGAGCAACAACACGGAACGTTGTGGATCCCGATTCGAGTCCCGCTTCTGTCGTCAAAGCTCTAAGATCTAAATAGATTTTATTAAGATAATTTTCGAAAACCGTTTTTGTTCTAGTGCTCGCAGCAGTAATATTCTTGGCAAGATGTTTCGACGATGAACCACCAATACGAAAGAAGATAGAAGAGATCGTAGCGTTCAAAAATGTCTCCGACGATCTTATCCTGGTGGACGTCAATAGCTTCGTCAGGGAACATGGTGATAAGGAGTCTCTCCGCGTCCGTCCTTACTACCACGACCCTGCTGTGAGGGATACAAAGAAACACACATTAGATTTAATGAAGCAAGCCATATATGGAACTCAGGTTTTGTCATGTTATATGATAGATCAGGACAAGATTGCACTGCCGACCTATTTTGGTTATCGATATTTGGAAATTCACAGGCCACGACCGAAAAGCTTTAAACTTGACAGCTTCATTTGTTTTCGTTATATTTAATATTATCACCACCCATTGTGATTTTAAAAATATTACGACACGGGCAACACCTTTTTGACCATATATGCAATATCCCGACGAAGTTCAAAATATTTTGGAAAAATTATAAATTTAAATAAAACACTTTAACGGTTTGAAACGCTATATATTAGTTAAACTTATTTGAAAATTATTTTTAATCTCCCCGTGACCACGGCTGCTGCAAAGCATTCGAAACGTCGGGCCGAAGTTAAAAATCATTTTCAAATAAGTTTAACTAATATATCACGTTTTAAACCGTTATAGTGTTATATTTAAAGGTGTACTACTCGCGTAAACTATAGACAGTATTTAAAGTTATAAATTGATTAAAAACATGTTAGACCAGGTGGGACTCGAAGACACGACCCGTTGATCATTGATAGTTGCGCTGTAACAACAAGTATAGCAGATTTTCATCATATATTGGCTGTGTCATTTCGTCCACATAGGATAGTTATTTTTAGGTATCAAATTTGTTCTTGCAAACCTTCATTTCCTCCCAATTTAAGTTGTCACTCACAACGTCGGTCGCATCCCGACGTCCTTGCAAGTTAATCCAAAAAGATAGACAACGTTGCGACCCTTTTTTTAAATCATTTAAAGATGCATAATTCTCTGTCTATCTTGAACCGTTTATGCAACGTACGCATCGGAAAGCAACAAAGCTGAATAATTTTCCCCTTTTTTTTCTCCGCTCCTATTAGTCACAGCGCGATGTTTTATAGCTTTGAGCCTTTCCCGATAAATGCTCTAACCAACACAAAAATTTCAATTCGAACCAGTTGTTCATGAGATTAGCATGTTCAAACAAGCACACTTTGATGGGCTTGTTCGTCTAATAGTAGCAATGATTGGACTTCATCTGGAAATCTGGATATTACATGGGTGGTATGACTATAGAAATTCCGTCCGGGTCACAGATGAACAAGCTTAATCGCGTTTCGGTTTGATCACCTAGCATCGAGCGGACCCCAAGCTATCAAAAAACTCTTATGCCTTATATATTAGTATAGAGGTGATTTTACAGATGAGAATGCGTGACCTGAACGCTGCAATAGAAAGATTCAACAAGAGCGTACCTTTTCAATTGTCCTTCGTCTTCATGAGATTGGAACAGCTGATCATCGACATGCGACGCATCTTCACCCTCGCTCGGAGGAAGGAGAAAGTAAAGAGGATGTACCAGCACATCATCCTCTACGAGCATCTTGCGAGGAAGCACGTGGATGTGCTGTACCTGGTACAATTCGTCATAGACACACATGCTGTAGCGATGAAGGATATCGAAAAATTCTTGGGGCCGGATGGCAAAGCCTTCATTCTAGAGAGGCAGCGGCAGAGGAGTGGATAATAAATTGTATAAGGCTTTCACGGCCATCGTTTAGCATATCATTGGTTTTCGGGCTGTGTAAGCGAGTAGAGGAAGGATAATTCTTCGAGCAATAGAGGAGCTTACATCTCCTGATGATGCCGTCCGTTCGTGATGGCGAAACGTCGAAAACCTCTTCTCGCTTCAACCAAACAGCCCAAATAACAATGATATGGAGAGGAGTAGATATTGTCGTGAACATGACTTAGATCTTTTTAAGCACTTTTAACAGTTTCATACAGAGAATTTAATAGCAAATTTTAATGTCTTAGGTACAGGTGTCAAAGTTGAATGTTGAATGAAACTTTCTAAAAACGTTTAGTTAGACAAAAATAGGTAAAGTATTATATATATATATAGTCGACGCTACTAACGCTAGTAACGCGACCAATTAAATAAAACAATATGTAACAGTTTAAAACGCAAAATATATACCACATAACCAATTTACTATATTTTAAATGCGTCTCGACTTTTCGGATGCTTTAATTTTGTTGCAGTTGTTCCCCCTTGACCGCATGCTGCAAAACTAAGTAACATCATTTATATCGCGTTTTAAACCGGTATGAAGTTTTTTTTATAATTTAATTAATATGATTGAAGAGTTTTATTTAAAAAACGTTGTTCACGATTATTATCTTTCTTTAAAGTATTATATTTAGGTTTTAAACCGTTCAAAGTATCTTTAACAAATAGGAGCTTATTAGGCACCATGATTAATTTTAAAATCGTCTTTTACAGTGTGATTTTGTCAAAAAAGTTTCCTTCACTAAACAACTATATTTATGTGATAAACACTGTCAGCCAACACACAATTTTGCATATAAAGGTCAAGCGTGATCGGGATTTGAAATTCTAATGCAGTAAACAGGTAGATCCATCGCTTTCCATGTTCAGGGTTAAAGATTGTAGATCTTAAGTCTTTGGCATAAAATACACGACGCTAAAGGGATTCTTCGTATAGCAAATGCTTTTGACCTTTCAAGGTCAAATTTTTTACGTTCACATTGAAAATTTAAAAAATACAGATTTTACAAAAATTGCAAACAGTTTTATCTACTTCAAACACATTTATATCTCTATTCGACATGTTTTCAAAAATAAAAATAAATTTGAATAAAAAGCCGTGGTCACGGGGAGACACGACTGCTGCGAAGCAAAAACGTCGGGCCGTAGTCAAAATAATTCCTAAATAAGTTTTATTAATATATTTCCTGTTTTAAGCCGATAAAGTGAGTTCAAATTTTAAATACTGGCGGCGGACTGCAGAAAATATTCAAAATGAAATTTGCCATTTTTAAGTGTCTGACGCATTAATTATAATGAATCGGTTTCACCAGGATTTGAACTGGTGACCTGTTGCTCTTTACGTATCGACCTATAGGTACATATATATATATATAATAATATAATTCTAAAAAATGAATTAAAAAAATTTAAAAAAGTCGGGAAATAATAACCATTAATAAAAACACTAGAGTCGTACTGACATAATATATTCCGCGTTTTAAGCCGTTAAAAATAAATGTCTATATTTACCTTAAGCTATATAGGGCGCTGTCACAACATTGTAGTGATCTATTTATACCGCGGATCTATTATCCGTATTAAGTCAATTGCACGACTCGTTGAGCGAAGGGGGGCTGTTTAATTATAACTGAATAAAACAATCGTCTTATGGAGGAATTATTTCGTTTATTTATTTTTTTTGTCACATAGGACGACAGTCAAGCAAGGTTCACTTTATGGAAGGTGAAATAGCTCAGCCATATAGCATCTAAACCAGATGGGTTGTCAACCTATTATGACTTTGGATATTTTGGAAATCCACAGACTGAAACCGCGAATACACTTCACGGATTTCTTATCTGTTGACGGTGGTTCGTAACAGGGGCGGAATTTCGATATTCCTACAGATTTAATATCCAGATTTCCAGACGAAGGCAAACATGTTTCCAATAATAAATTGATTAGAAACACACACACACACACATTAGGTCTCCCCGTGACCACGGCTGCTGCAAAGCATCCGAAACGTTGGGACGAAGTTAAAAATCATTTCCAAATAAGTTTAACTAATATTATCGCGTTTTAAACCGTTAAAGTGTTTTATTTATATGATTAGAAACATGTGGGATCGAGTGGGGATCAAACCCACGACCCGTTGATTACTAGCTATACATTGCTACCAAAAGACCAACGTGCTTGTCGAGAAATATTAATCCCTCGTTAGATTTTTAGATATCGAGTTAAATAAATGTGCGGACATAAACTCCCCTACCATATATTATTGTGTGGCAGATCAATCGATTAGAAGAGATCATAGTGCGTTAATAAATATCAGATATAAGAACCAGGCCGCACTGGCCCCATAAGGGACGTAGCTCCGGGGCCCGGTGGTGTATTGCGTCAGGGTCCCGAAGATTGGGGGCCCTCTAGCTCTTTGAAAAGAGATGAGCAGAAAAAGCATAAAGATTCAACGTGTTCAAATGCACTGTTCTTGTATATCTTGTCGTATAATAGTCATTTTGGGTAACAAAATTTGTTTTTGAAAACCTTCTCATTTCTTCTCCTCCTTTCTTTATCTTTATAAATATAGCTGTTATGTTGTGCGGTCGCGTCCCGTCACTCTTGCAAGTTAATTTTAAAAGATAGACATAAACTGTCATGTAAATTTTTGTAGATTATTTAAAGAGGAATCATTTACAGATTTTGGATCTTTTCGAAGCGAAGAAATAGTTGAGAGCCCGATTTCATTACTTACGGGGCCCCGGTCTCCAACTAGCTTCACTATCGGCCCCCATAAACATTTATCATGAATTTATGGCGGCACAAACCCAGCGGAAGCACACTAGTGTGGTCACACGAGCGCGGGGCAGTAAGCGAGCCGACGCCAGCCGGAAACGGCCGATGATTCACGAGCGAGCGTCTCCCAGTCCCTGTTATTTATTGGGCAATTGTTGTCTCCCTACAGTATAGGTAATAAACTGCCGATTGATAATATTTATATCTTTGTTTTTGCTGGAATATATTCATTTATGCAATCGGGGCGGGCTTTATTTCTTTGTTCTATCTGAGCTGTTAGAGAGCTTGGACTTTTACACATTAAGAATAGTAATCTATAGCTTTAGGTCATAAGTCGACATACCTACTTAGCACTGCTTTTTGAGAAAAATTACATTATTTTTCTTGCTTCTAGAAAAAATAAGATAATTTTATGCATTTGTTTCCGAGATATATATACTAGCTCAAAATAAATAATAATTAATCCAGTCACATAGTCATATGAGAAAACAGATTTAGTACACTTTGGTGATATTTAAAAAACAATATGTGTCTAAAATAAGAATTGTAATAAAGAATTAATTTCTTTCTCTACGAGTAAAAGGTTTTATTTTTATACATTTTAAAATTTTACTAGACAGCGCCATCTAGTGAAACTACAAAATCTTTGTCTTTACATTACTTATACTAAGTGGAAGAATTAACTCGGTATGGATAACATCTTACTTCGGTTCATATCGGTTAAGCAAAGCCGCTTCTCAATATCCACTTTTAAGGCCCGTGCCATCGCATAATCAGTGTAAGTATTATTCAACAACACTGCGACTACTGCTTTGATGGAGTTTGTATGTACCATCAGCTGTAAATTATATACACTGTATTTATTGTATCAGCCAGTTCATATAATAAAAGTACAGCAATAATCTACATTACGTATATACATTTACGTCAGTCTAGTAGTTATTGCATTCAGATCCCGAGGTACTGATTTCGAATCGTGGATAAGAATTGTTTAGTACTAGATGTTGGAACCAGGTACCCAGTGCTGTGGAGGGCATGTTAAGCTGTCTTGTCTCGCTGTTTCGGTTATCAGCAGGAAATGTGTGGGTTAGAGCCCGCCAAGTCTCACTGGAGCAGAGTGGTGGGTCCGTCTTTTTAAGAGGAGATCTATGCTCAGTAGTGAGACAATATATTATAACTTTATTAATAAGTGTAAGAATGACACTTATGGCACGCACTAATTATCTGTAATTATAAGTATATAACAACAAATTAATGATTAGAACAGAGATATTTAAGACAGTTATTCATATAATTAAAATATGGAAAGACCTATTGATTTAAATAAAACACTTAACGGTTTAAAACGCGATATATTAGTTATACTTATTTGAAAAATGATTTTTAACTTCAGCCCGACGTTTCGGATGCTTTGCAGCAGCCTTGGTCACGGGGAGACTAAAAACCCTTTTTTACTTTGACGTCAGAGACATCCCTCTGACGTCAAAATAAAAAAGGGTTATAAACCGTTAAAGTGTTTTATTTAAATGTGTTCTACTCGCGTAAACTATAGACAGTATTTAAGACCTATTGATATCGATTACTTTCTGACAACAATTACGTACAGCAATGTACATTAAGGAAATTACAAAAAAAGATCAACTAAGTTACGTATGACCTTTACAACAAACCCACTGGAAATATATTTAACGTTTTCTTTTCTCCTTACCTACACAATAGTTTTATATTCGTGCCGCCATTAAAGTAAATAAAATTCGGTTAAAAAGTTTTTGAGTTACACGGTTTTTTTTGACATAATCATCGTGTAGCCCTTTCATTTGATACCCATATTAAGGGGGTTAAGAAAAAAATATGTAATCCGCCATTTTGTATCGGCGGCCATCTTGGATTTATAATGTTATCCATTTTATTATATTGTATTGTCATCTAAATTGAATGCGTGTACCAAATTACAGATCAATCTGACAACGGGAAGATGCTTGAATTTCAACTACTTTTGACCCAAATAAATAAATTCCGTACCGGGTCATAATTATATTTTTTAGGTTCGTTTCAACCTTTCCACAATGCTTCAATTTTGGTACTTGTTATCTGATATGGGACAGACTAAAAAATTAGCTCTTAGCAAGCCTTGCTGAACACAAGCTGTCTTGACACCTTTTAGCACGAAGTTAAAATTATACTTTTTTATTCTTTTAATTGTACGTTTCGTATTTTGTGTTAATAAACGGATTATTTTTTTATTTGTTTAAGAGTCCTTATGTCCTGTATAACTAAAAAAAAAATAGCTAGGGGTAAAAAAATAATAGTTAGTTTAGTTTTTCTCTTAATTTTTTTCAGCTGAAAATAAAATCGCAGAACGACGCACAATTCAAGTGGTTCAATATTTCGACTCGCTCGAACTCGTACCTATTACGAAGAAGCAATTCAATCAGGTATACGATCAGAGCAAACCTCCCCAAAATGATTTCCTTAACAATTTGATACAAAAATATCTTGAGCCATTCTCCCATGTTATACATTTCATGGAAATATTCTACGAAAATGAATTCACAGAGCGGCGGTATATTTTTGTGCATGGTATATATATATTTAATGATAGAGGAGGACAGACATGGCCCTTAATGGTAGGTGATATACCCCAGCTTTTAGCAGCTAAACACGATGCGCCGTCGACCTATTTTAGCTTTCTATATTCGGTAATTCATAGACTAAAACCGAAGCTCACGGCTTTTTCATACAAACGGAATTTCTATATTCCTACCACCCATTTTATATCCAGATTTCCAGTCCAGCATGTGTCAGAAAAAATATAAATTGAAAAATGAGAAATATTTGAATTTTGAAAATTGAATTAGAAGGTTGCCTGGAAGAAATCATAATCAGCCATAGGCGATAAAGCCGCCTTTGCACAAACATGTTTTATTTTGTATATATAATTCTAAGTATCTATGTTCTTATGTCTATATTTGTGCAAAAAAAGAGTTTTTATTATTATTATATTTTGGACCTGGTGGGGATCAAACCCAGGACCCGTTGATTAGACATACATTGCTATTAGACGAACGAACCCGACCGAATAGGTAAATTTGCAAATACTATGTATGTATCCTGGATATTTCAATTCGGTGTTCGGGGGGGTTGTGGGGTAGAACTGGGGGGAGGGGGCGCCGGAAATTACCTCATGCCAGTGACAATATTGATATTGGAAAGCTCCAAATGTGCTTTTAAATATTTTTCCTGTTGACTGTTCAATTATGTTTTCATTTCGTATCGTCGTGGAATACTAAGTACTTATAACGGAGGTCTTATAATAGTCGTTATGATTAAATTCTATTCAAACTGAATTTACAAAAAACACAAAATCGTCAATTATAAGCCAAAAGCCACGTATGTACAGCGGAGATGTAAAATGAAACGCAATGGCTCTATAACATAAGAATTAAGATGTGCCGTCGCCCTTTTGGTACATTATTAAAAACGTAATATAACACTACCCTCTACGGGCACTGGCCTGAGGTTCGTGTCCCTGGTGAAATAGTGGTATTCCCACCATCCATTCAGTTGTAGAGATTTCCCAGACGAAGTTAAAAAAACTCACTGCAAAACATTCGAAACGTCGGGTCATAGTTGAAATAAATGACGAATTAATTAACTTGTATATTGTATAATTAGCGTTTTAAACCGTTAAACCAGTTTATCTGACTATTGCCAACTAAGAACACCCCTGACAGGGCATAATGATATCTTAAATGTTATATACAATACGTTTAATTATTTTATTTAGTAAAAAAGTTACAAAGACGAACTGCTATTGTTCCCTCTTTAGGACTTTCTTTAACTTAATGTCATTCACATCCTCGTCTTTACAATTACCGTTTCCTCTCAATATTTGGGGATGGCAGAAATTACGGTGATAGCCGCAAACAAACAACGTAATTTAAATAAAACACTTTAACGGTTTAAAACGCGATATATTAGTTAAACTTATTTGGAAATGATTTTTAACTTCGGCCCTCTGTTTTGCAGCAGCCGTGCTCACGGCTTAAAGTGTTTTATTTAAATGAGTACTACTCGCGTAAACTATAGACAGTATTTAAACAACGTAATGTTTAATTTACAAGAGATTACTTATAAATGATATAAAAAGAAAAAAGGTATTCTTATAAAAGATTATATTTTATCATTATGCACACTGTTACAATACAATAATATACTGACTGTCAGCGTGTTTTTCAGTACTGAAAATATAACATTTCTTTTTAATTTATTGATGAAATCATAAATTGTTAAAAGTTAAAACACACAAAGATATGAAACTTGCCGGCATGTTTCATCTGGTGTTCATTACCCGGGATAATTTCGATATTTCTACCACCCATTTAATATCCAGATTTCCGAACGAAGCTCATCAAAAGATAGCGTTAAAAAATTTAATAATTAATTTTGATAGTAAAAGTACATAATTATATGTATATATAGACATAAAATAAACTTTAATTAAGTTACATAAGAGCTAAAGGTAAGTCTTCATAACCGTTCCACCCCCACTTCACTGTATCGCGACTTTAGTCTCCGCATTTTCCCACTGCTCCTCCACCCTCAACAGCACATCCAGCACTTGGCGCTTGACCAGGCCTTGCATTCGTTTGGGAAGTCTTTTGGTGCTTTGACAGACGCTGGCGAAGAACAGGTCCAGCGAGTCTTGATCGTTCCCAGGGTCCCAGGTTTCTGGTTCTAGCTCTTGGTCGGATTGGAGTTCCGATTCGTCGATCTTTATGTCGTCTTTTATGCCGCGTCGGGTCCTGAAAATTACAGCTTTGGGGTGAGGCGGTAACGTGCGGTGTACCTGAACCAAATGTTATACCTGTAATTGAAACTAATTGAAGAATCTTTCTAAACATAGTGAGATGTATTGGTGTTATATCAACAAACGAGTTAAAGTATTGTGTGTAGTGGCGCGGAATTCAAACGGTTTAAAACGCCAAATTTATAAGATACTTACTTTTTCGTGTTGTTATATTTAAATTTATACTTTAGTATATCTCGCGTTTCCAACCGTCAAAACCGTTTTTATTTTGGTCGATTAAAGTAGTCTTATTGCCGCATTTTAAAATTTGTTGTAAATTCATTAATTTAAAACGCGATATATTTTAAAATTATTTTAACTACGGCCCGACGTTTCGGATGCTTAGTCTTCCGTCACCACGGCTGCTGCATAGCATCAGAAATGTTGGGCCATAGTTAAAATAATTTTGAAATAAGTGTAACTAATATATCGAAATATACTGTTTTAAACCGTTAAAGTGTTTTATTTTTAATTAAAGCTTATCATTCTATTACTACTGTATTGTAACAGCTAATATGTATGAAGTAAAAATCTATAGCTCTGAATGAAGACTGTCCATAAGTTTTGTATTTCGTAAACAAAGCGTCCATTTACCGTCTCATGGTCATGTAGGGAAGTACGAACGCCATCCTGCTCTGAAAACGCCACTTTTTGCACGGAGCTCCCGCCTTCGTCGTTGTTCCTTTGTTACTCTTCTTCAAAGATTGTCGCAGGGAGTCGCGAAGGATTTTCCATTCACGCTTCAGTACTTCACCTGAAAATAGATTTAACACATACACTGCCTACGATAAATAATGGAAAATATTTTAAAAATATGGGTAAATGTATAATCGTGGTGGTGGGGGTAACCCCCCCCCCCCCACGACTAGAATCCGAGTACTGAAAATGTTTAAGGTAGGTATAATGTAATATGATAGGAATATAGCACGAGAAAATTCAATATTTTACCTACCTTTAATAGTATGACAAAAAATAATATTTAAAGTAAAAAAATACACTTTTTACGGTATAAAACGCGAAATATATTAGTTAAACTATTTTGAACTAGAAACCGTTGCTTCAGCCACTGTACATATTTCTTTTTGTGTACTACTCGTAACTATTGTCTATTGTTTAGGCCAGTAGTATTTAAATAAAACTATGTCAACGGTTTAAAACGCGTTATATAACTGATGCATATGGCGTAAAAAATTTAAACTGTACATACTTACTTACTCGTAAAAAAAAAAAAAAACCATTATGGTTATACATTTTTGGTCCCTAATTACACAAGTAGGCAGGTTCTATATTTCAAGATTTACTCCCAAGAACAGTTTTTATTCATCGAAATTAATTATCAGTTATTGGTTACAACTTTGTCAACAATAATATCTTGCAAACAAAACAACATTTGCTACATAAGCTAGAGAGAGAGAGAGAGAGAGAGAGATAAAATAAAGAAATTTATGCACTCTTAGCAGTTACCGTCCAGGCTGTTATGACTATAAGATTAACCGAATATCCAAAGCCAGAACCCCATGCTCTCATCATTCAAAAGTCCCAAGTCCTAGCTCAAAACGAATATAAGTTCTATAGAAAACAAATTAATTCCATCAACTAACAAGCGAAGTCCATACGAATCAAGCGAGTAAAAACTACAAGTTACATAGGTGTCATTATACCTACAAACACGAAAAAGTAACTCTAACACAAAGCAGTAAGACACATTTTAGCACGCAGCCTAATCAACAATGAATAGGATCTCTATAAACGTGTCATTTGAAATTGAACTCTATTCTAAAGATGACAGACTTACAATTGGCTCCGAGTCGTTCCGATATCTCAAGCCAACACCGGTCCCTGACGTCGATATCTCGATGGTTCTCATGACGCGTGTCGTACAGCACGGGGTACTTCTTCACTTCGTCTATTAACTTTTCCCGATATTCTCGCGTGTTCATTTTGTCGTTATTCATTTTGAAGCGAAAGGCGTCCTCTCGATGCGAAGCGCTAGCTATACTGAGCTAGTAGAGCGAAGCGAGGTTGCCGCTTCGTGCCGTATAGCTCGAAGCCCGCGGTGTGCGCCGTGGCTAACGATTTACCGAGTACACACGTAAATTACGAACGTTTCGTTTGCTAGATTATGTTCGTACTCTAACAAATAGTTAGTGATTAATTTCGATCAATTTAATTACGATAAAGACTTTTAAATTAAACACTTTAACGGTATAAAACGCGATATATATAACTTAGTATTATTTGAAAATTATTTTTACGGTCCGACGTTTCGGATGCTTCACATTAAAGTAATTTTCAAATAAGTTTAAGTAATATATATCGCGTTTTAAACGGTTAAAGTGTTTTATCTAAATGTGTGCTAACATTCAATGCTGACCACTCCGAGCGAGCGGCTTGCAAGAACGACGGGAAGGGTGCGTCCCTACCGTCGTGGGTAACAGTTTAAGTTTATTAAGGTAAAGGGATTTGCAAAAACGAATTTGGATGGTATAAATAACGATTCTCGTGGACGCCGACACAGCTAGTTTGAGGATAATCGTCAGATGGTAACAAAGATAATATTACTAAGAGTCTCGTTGATTATGGCGTAGGTGTTGTTCGTGGTAAGGGCAAAGCCAGAACCACGCGCCCACTTAATTACGATGTTACCTAATTAAGTTATCCACCTATTAATTATTAGCCGTACATTACTACTATTGGACCAATAAGTTCGTCCAAAGGTTATGTTAGCTACTCCAAGTCTTTATAATTTTACTAGCTGTGCCAGCGACTTCGTCCGCGTAGAATAGTTACTTTAGGCATCAAAGTTTGTTTTGCAAACCTCCTGATCTGTAGTTTACGCGAGTAGTACACATTTAAATAAAACACTTTAACGGTTTAAAACGCGATATATATTAGTTAAGTAAACCTCCTCATCTTTAATTATAGCTGTAACCCACGACGTCGTCTGCGACCCGTCGTTCTTTTCGTCGGCGCGGACATTCTTTTAGATAATTTAAACAGGAACCATTCCTTATTACATCATTTCTAATACCTTGTACCAGTTCCGCAGCATTCTCAAGGGAAACCCTTACAGATCAATAATTATCCCCATTTCCACATTTCTCACTGTTTCTCCGCTCCTGTTGGCCGCAGCGTGATGTTCTATAGCTTAACCCAAAAAGAATCGTTCAATTCGAACCGGTAGTTCCTGAGATTAGCACATTCTAACAAACACTTCAGCTTTACAATATTAGTATAGATTAATTAATGTACAGAAAAATATGTCTACTGCTTTATAGTACAACTGTGTATATCGTGCTCTCGTGTTTTAGAGTGCCTACCTAAACAAACAAATAAAAAAAGGATGGCGCATATAAAAACTACGACAATATACTCCAAAAACTGTCCTTTGTAATACACGAACGTACTAAACCGGGCCAGTTTCATTGTACTTAACTCCTCAATCATAATTGTCTCTGGACAAGATTTTTCGTATTTTATGCGTTCACCCTGCGCATACGCAACAATACGATAATACATCTCTCTCATTCAGTTACCGCAAACGTATTTCGCGAGCACTGAACTCGTGACCTAAAAAAACACGTACGCTCCCGTTTCCCGTCTCTTTCACACTAGTACGAACAACTATTGCTATCCTTTTCGTTACAGAAATAATCGTCGCGGGGATCGAATTGAAAACGTGTTGATTACAAGAATATGTTTGATCAAATTATTGCTGTGTGAAAAATAAAAGTTTTGAGTGTATTCACATCACAGGGTTCCGTATAAAATTAACGTTTAGTTAAATATTGTCTGTAGTTTTAAATAAAATACTATTAACCGTTTAAAACGCGAAATATAATAACTTACGTAATAGTAAGTAATGGTAGTGATACATAGTTTCCATCTTAAAGTTTTTACAATTTGTAAACATTCTGAAATATTTTAAAATATACATAACATCTTTCTTAAGGAAAATGCCCTGCCAATGCAACACTTTAAAACGATTTAAAACGCTATATATTAGCTTATTTTAACGACTAGGTACCCGATATTTCGGTTGACCGTGACCCACGGCCCGACGTTGCCTGACCCGTGTCCACGGCTGCTATAAAGCGTGAACATCATTTACTAGTAAAGAAAATCAATCAATGAAACGGATACAGAAAAATAACAGAAAAAGATCCAGCTTCATTTAAATATCCCACAGCTGGGAATAGTTGTTCTGCCCCAGTCCCACTTGAACCCACCACGCTACCTCAATACGGGTAATCAACTACCGTTAGAAATAACAAATCCTTGAGAATAAAACCAAGTAAAACAAAAAGTGGTCACGTTTAGTAAACTGCGCGTGATTCAGTTACTTCGGTGGCTAAATAATAATTTTAGTTTAAAATATAGACCAATAATACGGTTGATTTTTTGCCTATACCTATAGCATAAATAGGGTTGCAACCGTACGATATATAGTACATTACGTACTATATTTCGTCTCCATACTATTTTTTGATGGAATGGAGTTTTTTGATGGAAGGTGAAAACCCAGCCATATAACACCTCGAAAAGATGCACTGTCGGCCTATCTTAGCTTTGGATGTTTGATTACTGTAAAAGTAAAAAACAAACTTTAGTCGTAATAATATCCCACATAATGTCATTTGGGCAATGACATCATAGCTCAATTGGTTAGAGCAACGGAACGGAAGGTTGTGGACGTAGGTTCAAGTCCTGACCGCGTCGTATTTTTTAAAATCCCCTTTTAACTTAAATAATATCCTTCTATAGTACTTCATTTTTTTAAAGTGTACTATATTTTTGTATGCTGGTTTTTAAAATACGATATTTCGATAAAATATATTGGCAGCCCTAAAATCAAGGTCTTTGATGAATCAGTTTTATTTATCAAGAGTAAGAGACAACTATCTGTTGACAGGGTGTTGGTCTATAGTAAGTAGCAATGTATATCTAATAATCAACGAGTTGTGGGTTAAGTCCCCACCAGGTCCATCGTGGTTCTAATAAATTGATAATTTTTCTGAAAACAGTCATTGGAAGTCTGGATATTAAATGGGTGGTAGGCATATCGAAATTACGTCCAGGTCCTACCAATATCCACAGATGAAAAATTCGTGATATATAATCGCGTTTGGGTTTCAGTCTGTGGATTTCCGATTATCCAAAGTACGACAGACCATATAAGATTTAGATGTTATATAGTTGTGGTATTTATCTACCATCAAGTAAATCCCATAAAACCATTAATCTGCCCCGTCGAACGTTGATCTGACATATAAATTATAGATAGGGAAATCTGCTATAGTCTAAGCGAGTATAAAATTTAAATAAAACTGTAACGAGCCGTTTGCGGTGAAACTTATTGGTAACCGGCACAGTTACGACAAATACCAACTTCGACGGAACATATGGCGCTAGCATAGCAAGTTTTTACTTAGACGTCAGAGACATCCTCCATTTAAGTCTCCCCGTGACCACGGCAGCCGCAAAAAGAATCCGATAAACGTCGGGCTGTATTTTAAAAATCGATTTCCAAATAAGTTGAATAATATTTTCGACTTTCGGTTAAAGTGTTTTATTTAAATACCGGAATTTCTGTCTAAGCATATAAGATTGCATAAATTCAGCTCGAGCCATTGCAGTGGATATAGTACTGGCCTGTTACACAATAATGATATATTCAAAAATTACTAAGTTTTCGATATACATTGTATTTTGAATTAAGAAGAACCACGGTGTTCTTCCTCTTCCTCTTCAATCATGTTAGAAGTCGTACATGTTCTTCATAAGTAAACAGAGTTTGCGTACGATAACAGCCTTCTTCGGCAAAAAATAAGCAAGTCCCGAGATAGCGAATTGGCTCCCGTATAAAATTGACTCAAAAAATTTCCACTTCTAATGCCGGTTCCACAGTGTGGCGTGTTATTTAAAATACACCAAATTTAGCAGCAAGCAGCACAAATTACAAAAGCAGTTAGCAGTTGTGCTTAATAAATAAAGAATTGCCCACTTACCTATTTTAATTTAATTTAACTACGGTCCGACTTTGACCTTGCCATTAGTAACCCACAACTTCAATCCACCCGGCTGTCCTAAAGCATCTTCAATTAGAAGATAACTAATAAATATTGCGCATTTCAAAGCGTTAAAAGTGTGGTTTTAAATAAAGTAATGTCTTTAATTTATACAGCTTTACCCATTCATATTGTTAAATTAATAATTAAATAAGCTATTTTATATGAATAAAGTCCAATATACTATAATATAAAGAAAACATTACGGAAAACATAATCTTACAGTTTTCAATTTATTTTAACTACGGCAACGTTTCGGATGCTTTGCAGCAGCCGTAGTTTCGTGTGAACGTCGGGCTTTAGTTATTAAATTTAAAAATAAATTATAGACTGTTAAAAGTGGTTTATTTCAATGTGGACTACTCGCGTAAAATATACTCTAAAATATAATTGAAGTCAAGAAGAGTATTTACTTGACTTCAATTATATTTTCTCCAACGTACACGCACCCTAACAACAGCGAAATCATGAAGGCGAGAAATCGATAAGAACGTGTCGGCAAAAAGCTGAGTCGCTCGAACCATTTTCGGCTCCCTCATAAAAAATTCGTAGCCTAAAGAATGTTGAGAAAATCCGAATGTGGACCTTAACACAAGATACGAAGGTTTATTTTTATTTGAGCTGTAAACGTCGTGATCTACCTGTGTTTTTTGGTTAAGGGATTAAGCGGAACAGGTGGTCAATAATTTCGTTAAGCTTATGTAGTTACTCATAATTCCTAACGTTTCTTTATCGGGCCTTTATAATTCCGGTCATGGTATTTTCTGGAAACTTTTTGCCGAACATTACAACAGACTAAGTACTTTATGAGGAAATGGTATGGGATAAACTTCCGAAAAGCGCATACCGCCGATCGATCTGAAATTTGGTATACTTATGTATTTTGA